AGAGTCCTTCAGCGTTAAATGTCATGTTGTCTGACATTAATCCTTGTCGCGTGCATGCGCTGTCTGTCACTGCGCATGCAACTTTAAGGCACCGCAAATCCGCATCCAATTAAACCAATATTTATGCAGAGATTCGAGTAAACAAGAAAAAGTGAGGAGCTTATGGATAAATAAATACAAATGAATGCTAAATGAATTTTTAACTTTAACCGAAGCACAAAAGCAACAAAAATATAAACAAGCGCCGCAAACTACATAAATTTGTGCTTTTTACTTACTTCGCTCTGTCAACAATTTGCTAAAAATTCTCTTGGCCTGTTTTTGTTTATTCTGCAAAGCGCATTAAGCGCAGCTGCAGGCCGATTAACGAATTACAGAGATTGCTCTCTCTCTCCCCCCCTCTCTTTCTCTCTCTCTCTCTCTCTTTTTAAATATTTAGTTTATAGCACATTCATATACATATATATCTCTTATACGAAATCAAATTAAATTGTAAAACTGAATGAGGAATATATATGTGGAATATTTTTTTTCATATAAAAATGCATTAATAGAGCTGAGGTATTATTGACACTCAACGAGAGTGAGGCAAGCATAAAAGTCTCTTACTATACGTGGTTCCGGCTGATGTTGAGGGATAATTAGATGGCATGTAGTCCTCTTAACGAAATGCGGCGAAGAATTGCAAGTCTTTAATAAAAGAGACAAAGAGAACTATACAAGTACAGTAACACTCGTTATAGAGCTATATAGGCTATATATGGAAAGTGATCATCGTCAGCTAACATTATTCATAAATTTAATGACCTCGATGACTTTTCTTCACTCTTCTTCTTCTTCTTTCCACTCTATTCAACTACGACTCTCTGCCATTCTGTCCCCTGTTTTATTACCACGTTCCCATTAATGTCTTTGTCTCTACCTCTCTCCATCTTTCTGTCATTCACATTCTCTCATGATCCATCTTTCTCTCTCTCTCTCTCTCTCTCTCTCTCTCTCTCTCTCTCTCGATCGATAACCGTCTCTTTCTCTCAATGCCTCTCCCTCTCTTCATCACTTTCGCTCTTACTCTTTGTTCTTCTACCCAAAAAGCTTTGATTCTTAATCTCTGCCTCTTTCCCTCACTCTCTCGCTGCCTTCCTCTCTCCATCACTTTGTCTGTCTATCTCTCTCTCTCTCTCTCACTCCTTTTTTGCCTCAGTCTCTATCCACCTTTGGCACCTCTCTTCTACCTTTCCTCTTGCGCACCCTCTCTCTCTCTCTCCCTCTACTTCTATCTACCTTGCCCCTCACAATTGTCGCCTGAATATTTAATAGAAGCATAAACGCATATTATCTAATTATAGACACGTGAGCGTAATATTTAACTGTATACAATAGTTGATAATTTGATGGATTGCATGTGCGCACAACTACCCTAAATACCTACTTGAACAGGGTATATATATATTCCTGAAGGGGCATGGGGCATGCGTCACGGCTGTGTGTGTGTGTGTGTGTGTGCAGCATGCAATTAGCCAAACTTTGCGTTGCGGTTGCATAACACAAGGCTTTCGTCTAACTGTACATGTATTTATGTACAACCTAGGCGCGTTTATTTGCTTCGATGTTATTTGGTCGAGCGTCGAGAGTTGTCATTATGCAAAATATGTTGCATTATTTATAGCATAAATACAGGCGCTGACATTGCATGTCCGCTGCCCCGAGTAAACAAACAAACAAAGAGCCAAACGAGCAGGCAGGCAACCGCAACAAGAACAACAACAACAACAACAACAACTACAACAACAACAACAAACATGTGCAACACAATGGCCGCCGCACTTAAAATTAATTGAACTTGAAATAAGTGCCGCATGGAGCACGGCTTGTACTAGCTCATGAGAAACTCTGTGGTCGAGCCAAAAGGCAAAAACTTTGCCAACACACACACACATACACAGAGAGCACACACACACAGATACGCACACAAGGTTTTCATTAGTTTTGGAGTCCTGCCCAAGCAGTTTACGCTTTCTTCTGCCTTTTGGTCAAGTTGCAAAAGGCAAACTTAATATTTAGTGCCATTTGCTTGCTCTGACAGTTTGCAGAAGTCAAATTTGTTGTTGCTGTTGCGGCCGATGCCCGTTTGTAGAGTGCGAAGCGGGTATATTGGATTGCTGAATATATTTTATATTTGTGTAAATTGAAAAACTAGGTTATTGATGGACATAAAACGATCTTGATTGACTGACAATGATTGATTGATTGATTGCTGACTGCTTGGTGGCAGCCTGCAAGATTGATTGATTGACTGACTGATTGATAGTTGACAGACTTATAAAGTGAAAGCTTGTAAGTTGGCTTAAGAGCGTGCATTGCGCAGTCGATCATACCCGCTTGTGCAGCTCTTGGTTGTTTTCCTGTTGCTGCTCAGGTTTTCCATCTCCCATATTTTTTATGTTTTCTCTCTCTCTCTCTCTCTCTTTTTTTTTTTTGGTACGCGAACAAGTTGTGGAGTAAAGTGCATTGAAATCTTTGTAAGTAACTTGAGTAAGCCAACTTGGCACAACAATAACAAACACACAAACAACAACAGCAACTGGCAACCAGCAAAGGACAACGACAACACAACAAATGGTTTTTATTGCTTCTCTGTTTGTTGTTGTTGTTGCTTTTTATATAGTTTGTTTATTTGAGCAACTTTCTACGATTTTTTTTGTTTTTTGCTTTCTTTGCTTTTATGTAATGCATAAAAGTTGCTTTCGCCGCTGACAGCTTGAGTGACCACAGCGAACAACAAACATAACAGCAACAACACCAACAGCAACAGCGACAGCAAAACAACATTGTTGTTGCTCAAGCATCAAGTTTTCTATGCTTTCTTTTTATTTGATATCATCAAAATGCTATTTCAGCAGCTTAGGGTATTAAACGGTCATGTAAATTAGGCAAAGAAACTAACAGAGCGGCGAGAAAGGGACAGAGACAGACACTCAAACCCGCAGGCACAAGCTAAGTGCGTGTGTGCGAGAGTGAGACGTACAGATAGCGGGTGGAGCATGTGTCCCTGTATTGTATTGTGGTACGTGTCAAAGTGTGCCCCGAGAAGTGCGCTAAATTAAGCTGTCATTAAGGACTTAATTAAAGTCCTTTGTTGAAAGTTGACATTGTGTAAAGAAACATTTTGCTGCTGTATGCGAAAACAAATGACAATGACAACAGCAACGACAGCAACAACACAGCAACACAGCAGCAGAGAAAATTGCTGCACTTGAAAAGCTGCCAAAAAACACCAAAAAAAGGTTGGGATTTTTAAGGGAAAACGGGATATGACATCAAAGCAGCTTTCAAAATGATGTGTGCGTGAGAGTATGGATGTGTGTGTGTGTGTGTGTGCTTATCAAAATGTTCAACAGTATCATGGCGAAAGAGTAAGCGAGAGGCAAGCACATTGCATACGGCATAATGAGGCGAGGCGATGCTGCAAAAACTCATTAGCAGGCAAACAGACAGACAGACAGACTGTGCGAGAGAGGGAGACAGACGAACCCGAAAAAACGACTGTTAGACAGACGGAGTGACAGAGCAGTCAGGCTAGTTCCATTGACAATTGCAGATTGTATTAAATAACACACACGCGTAGCGTGAAAGAGGCACTTGGCGAAAATGAAAACATAAACGACTTGGCTTTTAATTAAATATATATGTATATATAAATTGTATATATATTTGTATTTTCCTCTTCTGCTGCTTATTTAACAAGCGGCACTCGCTTACTTTGAAGCTCAAGCAGAAATTCAATTGCAGCAACTCTGTGACTGCCAAACTGTTTTTAATTGCCGCCCAAAGGTATGCAACGATAGCTGCTACAGATGTCTGGCAACCTCAGCAGCAGACCAGACAACAACCCAACTCATATTCCTTTGACTATGTGCGTGTGTGTAAGTGCAGGTGAAGCAGGTTTCGCTTTGAGTGCGTTTGTCTGCTTAACAAAATGACTTTTATTTTGAGCTGCACTCAAAATTGTTATGTCGCCGGCGTCGTCGGCAGCATTTAAAATAATCACATTCTGAGCGCCAAGCATTAAGCACACGCAGACAGAGACTGAGCAGGAGAGATGACAATAGAGGCGCTTTAAAATTGCCCAGCCTCACACGTACACACGCACACAAACAAACTACTTCCGCACGAGTTTGCATTCCAAAATTGAAACTGCAAATGCAATGGGAAAATCAACCAGACGACGACGCGTGCTGCAATTTTTGCATACTTCTCTACGTTTTGAAACAATTTTGTCGTCTAGCAAACGTGTTAGAACGTGTTGCCGGACGCCCATTCCCCCTTTCCTTAATAGCTACAGAGTAGCCCTTTGTTCTCCATGCAGTTGTCTCACCTCACCCCACCGCTCTCAAGCTGAGATTCTGTGAAAGGTGTCCCGCAACATTCCGATGGGCCACCCCGTCTGGGAATTATGCGCTGGCCGGCTCGACCGCATTCTATTGCCGTTGGGCTTTCCAAATGTGGCCAGATGCCGCAAATCGAGCAAAGGAAACCCAACAAATACCAAGCGAAAAAGCTCTGCGGCAAATTCCGAGAATCAATGCGTTTAGCAAATGAATAATAAATTCACATTTAAAGCACACAAGCTCAATTCGAAATTGTTTCAAATGAAAATACTACATATATCCAAAACAACAATAAAACATTTCAGTCAAAACCATTTGAATGTGGAATTTGAAAAATGTGTAATTAATTGACAAGTGCCATCCCATAGCAGAATAGCACATTGCGAATAAAATTTAGATTGCAATCGCTAAATATAAAACTATTTCGATAAAAATGCCAATATAGAAAAATGTCAAATAAAATTGATTTAATTTGAAGCAGTTTGAAGAATCAATTAGGTTTTGTCCGCTGCAATTTTGAAATAGTCTAGTATATTTTCTATGCAGCACGAGCTCTCATTAAAATACACATTATTCTCTATTGTACGCTCGGTCACACTGGTCAGCGACGCAACCAGTGATCTTGTTGTTGTCTGTTTGTGAAGTTTGCGCGTTCGTCTTTGTTTGGTTTTCTTTATTGTGAATTTGTGTTATAAAAAAATTGCAGTCGGCCGCTGACCAATTGTAATACAATCGCGCAAACAATGAAAATTTACAGTGAAATACATATATAAAACAAATTGAAAATAATATTTTTATACATTGCATTCGATTTTTCGTTAAGCCGTTCCAGCACCAGTGTGTATGCATCTTGACCTATGTGTGCGAGTGTGTCTGTTTGCACTTATACACACACATATGTTAAAGTGTATATATATCTTGCATTAAGTGCAAGTAAATCTGAGGCTGGCAGAGCCATAAATTGTGTGGCACACACGACACAGATGTTTATAAATGAAATGGATCCGTTGATAAAATATTAATTAATAGTTTTTTGTTTTCCATAATCTACGAAATAAAAAAATAACAAAATTATAAAACGCCGTGCGCCGACGCTCTGGCAACCTTGTTGCTGAGCAGCTTGTTTGTATGTTACACCGCTCTCGCACATGTTGCGCTCTCTCGCTCGCACTGGTCCGATCGTATGGCGGAAATGTTGAAGAATTTGTCGGCCTGCTCTTTGTAGTCGCAGTTGTTGTTGCTGCAGATGCGTGGGTACCAGAGCTGAAACCAGTTTGTCGCCTGTTAAATATTTTATTTTGTGTACCTTCTTTTATTTCCTTTTATTATCAATTGCTGAGTGCTAAATGCCTCGAAAATTGAATGCACACCAACGCGCCAAACTGTAAAAATGCAAACTATATGTGTATGTGTGTGTGTGTGCCTGCATTTATAATTAATCAAAACGAAATTGTTGCTGGGCACAGCGAAAAGAAATTTATTTAAAATCCATTTGCTACTACGGCTGCTGCAGTTGTTGCTGCAAAATCAATTTCATCGAAATTGCAATGCAAGTGTAAAAATATTTCGCGAACATTCAAAATAATACAACTTAAATGTGTTAACAGTTATTTAAAAGGACTTTTTTTCCTGTGCGGCCTGGCGAGCAAATTGCCAGCGGTCGCCAGTTGGATCAACAAACTCTCCCCCTCTCTTTTCCGCCCGTGTATCTGCGTGTGTCTGTCGGCAGGCAATAAAAAAGAGAATAATAATCCAATTGAGGTTTGGGCAGCCCAGTGTGCCCACACCCCAAATACAAAAAAAAAAGTAAACCAGAATGCAAGCGCAATTGATTCCTTTGCTGGCGCTGCTGCTGCTGCTGGCATGCGTAGCCCAACAAATAGCTGCCGACTATGAGAACACATGGAACTTCTACTACGAGCAGCCCTGTTGCGCCTCCAACGAGCCGTCGAGCTATGGGCGGCACAAGCGAGGTAAACTAATTTCGATTATACAGTTATGCAATTAACGCTTAAGTTATTAACTGGCGATAACATTTAAATGGCATTTGCCTGATTTGTGCTGCAGATTAATCGTAATTGTCTGTCCGAAGTTTCGCTAATTCTTAATTGTTTATTTATGAGAGATGCGCTTGAGAGCATTTTTAAAATAGCATAAATAATATTTAATCTGCACTCTGTGCATTGATATTATTTTTCAATTTACACGCAAACTGAAAAAAAAGAAAATCGAACAAAAAAATATATTCAATAAAAAGTAATTGTAATTTATTTGCCACAATATTGCTTTTGTTATTTATCTTACGTTTTTGTCATTATTGAGCGTGAGCTCTTTTTAAACATTTTTTTTACCACATATAGAAAGAGAGCTCAGCCATTGTTCATTTTTATTTATTAAATATATTTTTTTAATATCATTTCTGCAGCATCAACAACATTTGCATATTAATATCGCTTCCAATTGTTATTCATACAAAATTAAAAAAAAATGCATTTTTGCAGCTTTGTGCAAATGCCCAAGTAAATACATAAAATAAATTTTAACTAGCTGCAATTATTAATAGTTTATACACATTTTTTGTTTACTTTAAAAAAAAAGTCTATATGCAATAATAAAACCGCTGCGTAAAGTTCAAAAGCCCCAGATCAAGTTTCGCCACGAGTTGATTTCATATTTCTCTTGGCTCGTTCCATAATTTCATTCAAAGAGAAAAAAAAAAAAACTTAACCACCTGATTGAAAAACCGGTTAAATTATGTATGATTCGCTTCCAGGTGCTTTATTGAGTCATTTGCATTAACCAAAACCCAAAACTTTGTCTATGCGGCACAAGAAACCAAAAGTCCACAAATCGGTTCATTAATCAAATTTTCGACGAAATTGAATTTTACCATAAATTTTATAATATTTCTACACATTTGTAAATATGGGAAACCAAAAGATTACTTAAAAGGCAATTTGCCATAACAATATGAAAATTATAAAAAATGAATGATTTTTATTAGCTTTTATTTTATGGTAAATTATGGATTTTATTTTGAATGTGTTTCTGTTGATTATCTTTTAGTTTAGTTTATACTTTTATTTTATGGCAGTTGTAGATCCTACGATTTTGTATGTTTCTTTTTATTATCTTCAATAGCTAGCTCATGATTATCTAAATGATCCATCATTATGATGTTAAAAATTTAAAGAACTTTTCTGTTTTTCTCTTCAATATATAAGCAATTTCCTCTTTTATCTTTCTCTCTCTCTCCCTCTCTCTCTCTCTCTCTCTCTCTCTCTCTCTCTCTCTCTCTCTCTCCCTTTCTTTCTCTCTCCTATAGCCATTGCTAAGAGTATTAAATGCATAATTCAGCAATTCCAAGCGATTCTCATGGTTTTCTTTTTGGATATTTCCAGTGGACTTGCCACATATTTAAATGGCTCGAAACTGTTTTCTATGAACAGTTGATTGGCACCTTCTTTTTTTTTTATGCTGTTGTTGGCAAAGTCCTTTTAAATTTCTTGCCTCATGCTTGGCAACAAATTTGTTGTTGTTGTTGCCGCATGCCACGAGGACAAGAAAACATGGCCAGTGCCGGTGGCAGGTTCATGTTGCATGTACATGTCCAGTAAACATTTTCTAATAGTTCACGTTCAAAGATGCTGCCCAATGGGGGCCAATGGGCGGCTATTGTATCTGTATTAACGTTCATGTGTGTGTGTGTGTGAGGCATGCAACACACGGCTGCTGGCAGCGTTAGCAACAACCGCAGCATAAAAGTTCACGTGCCGTCTAAAACGAAAGCAACGAGCAAACACCAACACCAACAACAACAACAGCAATGAAGTGATGTAGTTGTCGCTGTTGTTGTTGTTGTTGTTGTTGCTGACGCATATTGTAGTAAACTCGCCGGCTAAGCACTTGTAGCCGAAACGTGAGGCGATTAAGGAAACGCTCAAGTTGTTTGCGCATACTTTTAAATATAGAATGCATAGGTGTCCGTACGCCGAGCACCATGCCCCCAGAGTGTCCTGCATCACACCACACACTCACACTCACACTCGCACTCCATTGAATGGGCCATATGCCACGACGTTGCCAGCTTCCTTGAAAACTACAATAACAAAAATAACAACATTGCAGCAGCTGCTTTAGATACTCGGATACACAGGCAAAAACAAAAACATAAAAAAATATGACCTGGTCATATCAAGTGTTAGCTACTTAACTTTATGTAAGCCAAGTTTACAAGCAGATTATGCTGAAATAAAGTCTATAGTTGGCCACAGATAAGACATTTAAGAGGTAGCTGCATTAATCAAAAAGACATTTGGAGATATAGGAAGATATATAGAGAGAATACAATAAATTAATATTGGATGGAGTAGATTAAGAGCCTTAGACTTTGAGTTAAGATGAGAAGTTTTTAAATTTCCAGTATTCCATTAAGGGCAGAAAGAACTTAATATAGCGTATAAAGAGAGAGAGAACAAAAGAGAGAGTGAAAAAGAGAGAGAGAGAGAGAGAGAGACAGAACAGTATCTTCTAGTCAAGCATTCCCAACTGAAGAGCGCCAACTTATTAAATTTTTCTTTCAGTAAAATTCTTATATATATTCTACTATATGTTGTTATGCGATGCTACAATCCTAATTGTCTATCAATGTGCATTTTTTAGGTAGGGCATAGGGCAAAGGCACTTAAAAACCTGTTTGAAAATTCAGTTTAATTCAATTAATATCAAAATACTCAAGCCAAATTGCTTGCAGCAAGAGAAAATTGATCCAATTTTCCGCTCAGTGTATGCATCATGTACATGTGTGGGTGTGTATGTGTTAGTTTGGCTAAATATTTAGTTTGTTGGTCGTGTTTTAAGCCATAAATTAGAGGCAAAGCCACAAAAAGCTAAAACTATACAACATAAAATGTCAACTATAAATTTTCATGGCCAAATAAAGTTTCCATCTCGCTTTTTGGCTCGTTCTCTTCTCTTTTTCTGTCCACTCACATGCAATGAAAAATTGTTATTTTTATTGATTTAACGAAATTAATTGCATTCGAGCTAGTTCAGAATTTATGCCTGACTATGGGCCAATCCCAATGTCCCATTGTCCCTTTGTCCCAATCTCCCAGTGTCCCAAACTGATGCACAATTCCACCTATTTTCCACGTTACGCGCCGTTGCACCTCGCCTGCCGCGCTTCCATGTGAAATGCCACATTTCATTTCGTCAGTTCATTTGTGTTGACTCAGCGCTGTGGCAGATGCTTCGCATCTTTATTTTTAAACTCTTCGCCTCTGTCTCGCCATCTGCCTGAGAGCTAAAGAGAGATAGAAAGAGAGAGAGAGAGGGAGAGAGAAAGGGAGAGGGAGTGCGGCCTGTCAAATGTCTGTTGCCCTTTTGTTTCTGTACATCGCCTTTTCAGCACTGCCACGCCCTCAAGTTGTTCATTATTATTAGAATGACTTCATTAGGTAGCCGACAAATACGGGCAGAAAGGTGTTTCCCAGGTAGCTAGCTGAGAATAGCACCTGAGCTCGGCTCTTGAGTATACAAAAATATATATATTATCTCTAGTACTATCTGCTTTTCAATTTAAACAGTTTTGGTTAGCATGATAGATATGCGAAACTAAATCAGCAATTAAATCTAAATATGATTGAAGGAATATATAATATTAATTAATATATTAAAATACAATAAAAAGTATTTATATCATACTAAATATAAAATATATATATTTTATAATTATTTTATTTATAATTAATTTATATATTTAAAAATTCGTTTCAATTAAAAATATAATAAATCATATTCCATATTATATAATATTGTTATCCCATTTCCAATCGGTTCAGGGTATTAAAACACAATTGCAATCGAAATCAAATACCATACTCTATATGTAAAGCCAAACAGTTTGACATGCACTGAACTGTGTAAGAGCATCTCAAACTGTGTCTCGAATGCTTGACCCATTAAATGAATGTGATGATAAGCTGAACAACGTAGGCGTTATCCAAACACTGACCACGCACAAAACTTACATAAAACCAACAACAACAAGAATGCTCTATATATGTTCCTTTTGATATGTGTGTATGTGTTTAGTGTACGTGCAGCTGTATTTGTATTTGTGTTTGTGTTTGTGTTGATGCTCGCGCAATTAAAACTCAGTGACACGTTTTCATTTAAGTGCTGAAGCATGTGTAGGTATGGGTGTGTGTGTGTGTGTGTTGGGCTGTATGTGTGTGTGTGTGTGTGTCGTATGTTTGACTGGGGGTCGACTTTTATGAGAATCATGTTGAGAACATGTTAGGCAGGGCACATAATGAAAGTTTCTTGCCGCAAATTGAGTAACGAACTGTGCAGGCCTCGCCCTCTTATCCCGCATCCTGACACCGATTGTTGTTGGTGTTGCTGTTGCTGTTGCTGCTGCTGCTGTTGTTGCGGCTGACAAGCTGGCAGAGCAGCGACGCGCTCCCAACTGGCGTTAATGCAATGTCAAAAGCTGTTAGCTCAAAAGCTGAGAACGCACAGCAGAAAATCTGTTGGCAGTGGCCGAGGTAGTCAGAGGTAACACCAACTCTGTGTGTGTGTGCGTGTGTGTGTGTGTGTGCCTCCCTCTCTCTCTCTCTCTTTGCGTGTCCCAGTTTCACTTTGATCAGCCTCTTTGCTGTATTCAGGCCGGCCCAAAGTGTGTTAACGCCAAGTTTGCAATAAAGCTCACCAAATTGAGTTCCAATCTGAACACCTGAGCGCAAGAATTAATATTGTTAGGTGCTCGCGACGCTGTCACACACACACACACACACACACGCACACACAAAGGCGACACAGAAGTCATCATTAAAAGTGCGCTTTAAAGTTTCTATGTCCAAGTTTTAAGCGACAGCAAAATCACGTTCCCTTCCAACAGCAACAACTTTGCTACAGAATTTATGAGCGAAATAAGTAGTTGCAACTAGTACTTCAACTACTTGCCACT